TCCATAAATTGCAAAATGGTTGATTGGTGCCATGAAAACCATTTTTATGGTTACTCTTGTGTGAAGTGCATAAGGTTAGCTTAGATGACTATTTGCCTAATGAGGGGTTACCTTATTATTATTTATCCAGTTTTAAATGGATACAATTTCAAATTATAAATCTACGTTTAAGTAAAGTTGTAAAGTTTTAAGATCCTTAGCAAAGTGTGAGTAGTATAGTTGCCAAATATTGCGCCAAGTGGGCGAGTGAGTGAGTTTAGGTTTACGCCGTACTCAGTAATATTCCAGCTATATGGCGGCGGTCTGTAAATAATCGAGTCTGGACCAGACAATCCAGTGATCAACAGCATGAGCATCGATCTGCGCAATTGGGAACCGATGACATGTGTCAACCAGGTCAGAGAGCCTGACCACCCGATCCCGTTAGTCGCCTCTTACGACAAGCATGGGTTACTGAAGATCAATATTCTAACCCGGACCTTCACGGGTCTATTGCGCCAAGAGTAAGTGAATGAGTGACTTCGGTTTGGCGCTGTTTTGAACAGTATTCCAGATATATCGGGACCTGTCAGCTTTGAGTGGATGGTAACCCATCAGGTATGCAGGACCATATAGACATTAAGACAGACAGTTGATGTATTTCTTAACACCAGCTATATCAGTGTGATTTCAGGGCACATCTGCTGGATTTGAGAGGTTGGTGAAACTTATCTGCGATTATAGCGCTGACATCAGAAAAACATTATGAACACCGATCTGAGAATCGAACCCACAACCATAGGTTTCTCATACGTCCAGCTATGCACGGCGACGAGTGGGCCACCCTTTCCCCAATGCTAATATGGTTGCTTTCGTTTGAATGTGAGTGAGTGAGTTTAGGTTTACGCCACTTTTAGCCATATTCCAGTAATATCACGGCGGGGGACACCAGAAATGGGCTTCCACATTGCACCTATGTGGTGAATTGAACCCGGGTCTTCGGCGTGGGGAGCGAACACTTTAACCACAAGGCTATCCCAACGCCCTGTTTTCGATTGAAGAAGATGCTCTCATCTGAACACTACCCTGAACACAACCCTGAACACTACCCTGAACACTACCCTGAACACAACCACATAACATGCGCCATGAGCATGCATGAGCGGGTGGACACTGGCGCTTTACAAATATCCACTATTATTAAAACACCGGCGCATCAGGTACCTAGTCTGTCCTGACAGGCATTCTATCATGTTCTGTAGTTAACATCAACACGTCATAATCGAGGAACAATGTCTTCTTACGTCAAAACGTCATTATCGATCCACGTCTTCTGAAGTCAACAAGTTCTAATAGATACGGTTCCTATGATCCTTCTTATGGAATACAGATTACCATTGTGCGAGGATATTACGGACATAAATAGCATACAACATGTTATGCAATTATTGCACGACAGGCTTTGTCCTCGCTTCATTCCCATAGCACAGTCACAATGATCAACGCTTACAAAGACCATTAAGGACTTGATTTGGCATTAGCAGTTATCTTAATAGGGAGATAAACTTTAAGGAATGCCTACATCAGACACGTTTGCTCATATTATTAGTTTACTATTATCATATATTATGGTAATAACGCTTTGGCGAAACATCTTCAAAGGCCAAACGTCCTTTAGTTTTGTCGTATTAAGCTACAGATTAAACAATCTGTGATGACATTCAGACTGTCATGACTACCAGTACCACTGTACGACAACCACTTCATTGTGTGATATTAAAAGCTTACATTCACCAGATGGCAATTCCGTGTTTAATTGGTTCTCTACAAGGCCACGCCCCCCTTTAACTGTCATAATATTTTAAAATCCAAAATAATTTTTAGCGAAGATGTTTACAAATTTTAAAGATATACAAACAAGAACGAATATAACAAACTAAATATCAAACTCACAATTCGAGCCCATTATCACTCTGCAGAGAGAATTTCGTAGACTAACAACTAATCTCTGAAATGAACATATTTTACAGAAAAATGTTCATAGTAAAAAAATATAATATAATGAAAAGGAGCCCTGAGACTTTCTTTATTTTCAGTCGAAATCTAGACTTGCCACATTTTCTAGACTTGCGTGGGCTTTCTTGGTTATATTTGCTTCGGGGTCTGTATGGCAGGCTAAGAATTTCGGTGCCTGAGATGATGAAATAGACATGAATTGCAGCCTACGCCTTGAACGAGCTCTGTCACTGCAGGGTGAAAACAACACACTGGGAAGTTAAACATCACACAACGAGCTCTGATTGCCTTATCAGGGTTATACAACCGTGACTATCCACTGGCTATAAAGAAACAATTATTCTTTTCATAACTATTTTTATGAGACTTATAATGTATTTGAATCTTATAAATCATCATCACATGTTTGGAAGAGTCTGTTTCAAGGCCATATGCTCCAAGGCAAGCAGCTGTCACCGTAACGACAAACGCCTTCATCACAACGCCGCGGCGATTGTAGCTGACAATTGTCTTTCTTACAAAGGTTTGACGAATATAGTTTTTAAAGTCCCAGTAGGATTAACAACGTCTGTGAATAAACATACACGTTACACTGAGGATTTCCTGCAGCGATTGATCAAATTAACATTAAAATATCCACGTTCCTGACAATGTTTGTCAAATATTCGAATATGTCCACAGGCCATGTTTTGACTTAATTTATAACGCCTGCTGTTAATCATACAATGAATACTGGGATCGTATTTTTACCACGAGAATGAAAACGGGTCGTTGTAAGAGTGAGGTTTTACGCCGCCTCAAAATGTATCTTTGTATGTTTCATTGAGCAAGGTTGGACCTTCCAGAATTGTCAACATCAAACCCATTTCAATAATAATGTATTCACGGGATGTTTCCAACCATGTCAAAAGCGTGTGTTGATTAATCCAGTAATATAATGTGCGAGTTTTACGCCGTTTTTAGCAATATTCCAGCAATGTCAAGGCGGGGACACCAGAAATGGGCTTAACACATTGTACCCATGTGGGGAATCGAACCTGGGTCTTCGGCGTGATTAGCGAACGCTTTAACCACTAGGCTACCCCACCGCCCCTCCAGTAATATAGTGATGACACCAGGTGTTTGTGAGACATGCGAGTACTCTACCCCATCGGTGGCACCCATTACACACATGCAAAGACAAGGAAACACAAAAACACACGAGCACATTCAGTGCAAGATAAAGTAGGGAAATATCGGACATAGCTTTGGGCATACCCATGTTAGGAATTAAACCGAGATTTCTGTGTTATGGACGAAAGCTTTAACCATAGGAGCATTACTTCGCTGCGGATATGTATACTTGCGTAACGGAAAATACAGTGAAATTTGTGTTGATATGGACATGAACACTGCCTCGTTCGAGATCCGTGCTCACATATGAATTAATCCTGGGAACTCTACACATGATATAAAAATATCATACTGAGGTCGTGCAATGCTAATTTATTTCCATGTTAAAAACAGATTTAACTTCAGCCATATCACAGGAGCTGTGCCGTTCTGCTCCGAGAAAACCAGAGTGAACAGTGTTCTATGACGACGTGTCGTCTAAGCGTGAGAGGAAAGCATGTAGTGTTGCATTCCGAATAAGTCACACGATAGGTTTACAAGGAAATAAGTCTATTAATGAGCACCCATTCATACAATTTTGGCACACTTGCCCATGACACTATTGATTATGTTAGTTGTTCTGAATTTTCAATTTCCGTACTTTTAAAAATCCCCAACAGTTTGACATTTTGATGACATTGAGTGCTGACATGATATATATTAAAGGAACAATCTCAGACAATGTCAATATATAACTAAATCAGTTCTAGACATCACTGGCGTCATGATGGCTGTAGATGTACGTCCTCGTGACAATACTATTTGTGTCTTTCACTTAAAGGACTGCACGTTTGCTATATCAAGGTAGTCTTAGATGTAATTCTGTTTATGTGCAATACTCTTTCACCTCACGCAGTAAAGGCGTACTGATATAATGATACCGCCAGAAGTACGTCTTCGTGACGGTTATGTTTCGTATCCTTTCACCATAAAGGTAACATGTTACTGATATCATGATAGCAACTGATGTACGTCAAAGTGCCAGCAATGACACTGGCGATGTATTCAGGTAATGTGAATGTCATTTGACAATCAATATACGTCTTCATGACACAGTATGGTTTGCTTGGGTTTTGGGTTTTTTCATGGATACAGATATCACGAATACAGACGTATCGTGTCGACGATATTGATTCACGATAAGTTGCTTTCAACCTAATAATAGGTGAGGTGAAATGGGGTTTAACGTTGCACTCGAGAACATTTCGCTCATGTGATGACGTACATGCGTGTGTATGTGTGGCTGCTTGTACTAGCCCCGACTGGTTAAATAGCTAGCCCACTGAGATACCATGCAGCAGTGAAGCATGTATACCCCACTCAGACACATTATCCTGACTCCGAGCCGACCAGACTTTGTTATACCCATTAATGTTGAGTGCCAGGCAGGGACCAACAAGTACCATATTTTAACGTCTTTTGGTATGACGTGGCCAGGGATCGAACCCGCGACCTTCCGCTCTCCGGGCAGACGCTCTAACCACTACACCACGGAGGTGGTCTGAAGTAAAATGAACGTCATGCCATGGCACACGATGTACGTCCTCATGACGACAGATTGGTTTGCTGTTGTTTTTAGTCATTTGCATGATCAATATCATGGATACAGATGTATTGTATCGCCCATGCGATTCACGACGTTTTCACAAGTTGACGTCACCCCAATAATAGATGAACGCCACCATGACGACAAGGGGTCGTTTTCGCTTTGCGTACCACGCATCACATGTATCCAGTACGTTTTCATGATAATAGTCGTGGGGTTTTGGCCTTGCACCACATAACGATACCGTCAAAGTAACGTCTCCATGACGGCACTACGATTCATCAAGAAAAAATATACTTTTTCTTACCTTTGACGAGTCTGTTGACGTAATCTGGATGTTGGACCAGGCATTCCAAGCCCAGTTTGGAGTTCATCACCACTTTGATACAAGCCACACATTCAAGGAGAAGCAGGGCATCAGACAGCTGGGTTACCCGTTTACTTCCAAGGGTGTCCACACAGTCCAGCAGTGCGTCCAGACCTTTGGCGTCCAGGAATCCTTGCATCCATTCTTTCCCACTGGACTTTACCTTCTTCTTCAAAGCACCGAACGTGTTCACAGACGGTAGTTTTAACACACTCACACAAATCTCAGGATCACACTGCTCCAAATCAATATTCATCAACGTCGCGCTTATTTTTCGACGAAGTATGTGTTTAATTCCCTTTTTAGGCTTTTGATTTTCTTTTTCAGATCCTGTTCCATGTTCCGAATCAACAGAGCTCTCACTGTACATTTCGTTCAGTAACAAACTCGCTTCTTTCTCCGATATGGTCTCCAAGTGACTCAAGCTTGAGGTTTGGGAGTCGCCAGAGTCGGTCAATTCACTTTCTTTCGAGCCTGTCTGTGCAAATTTAGTATCCGCGCCCTCACGTTTGCTGTCGCCTGAAGCTTGTGATGCAAGCAAAGTCACATTGTCGTCTCCACAAGACGGCGAACTGTTTAACTTAGCCATATCACTACCTTTCAGTGTTTCCTCCTCTCGCACGTGAGATTCAACGCTGGACTTGTTGGTATGGATCGTGTCGTCTGCTACTGAGGCGTCCGCCATGTCTTCTGAGTGCGCGTGACGGTCACGGCTGAGTAGCACAGCTTGATCCGTCGCTCTGTTATTTATAGTTTGTTTCACGGAACTAACCTCGGCATGTTTCGTCTCATCCTCTCTGTCTTTCCTTCCTTTCTTTTTCCTCCCAGATTTGGGGCTCTTTTTGTCTTTTTCTCTGGGAGCCGAGCGACGGGACCCCCACACCAAGTTGGACACCCGTCTGAACAGGCTCGACATGTTGGACCAAACCTGAAACAATATTACGTTTAAATGACACATTTTTTTTCCATATAGGAAAATTATCAGCATTGTCATCCATCGTCCAAACATCAGATAAAACCAACTCAGGCATTCATGTTGTGCTAAGCAGACTGGCCATGACGATGGAATTTCAGCTATGACTACTCACCTTAGGGTATTATAACCTCCTATTAACCTTCATACATTCACACTTTCACCAGGTCGTCTGTTCCCAAATATGTTCAATATTCATCAACGACTGATCACGCAATTAATCCAACTTCTGTGAATAACACGTTGAAGTTTTGTTGACCTGTCGCCTCCTGTTTACCCTGAATATACCACGAGGAGTGTATTTCCAGGTCGACCCAGTTCGTCGCACACCCATCCCGATAACACTATCCCAGATAGCCCGCCCTCACATAAGCACTTACCCGTTATTGTCGTCTGCTACCCACGTTGACATAACATTTCCTGTTTTCATATTTATGAAAGAAGTGTTTGGATGTGTCGTCTGCTCGTAGGTAGATTGCGTCGTTATGTCGGAATACTTATTAAATTGATAATGTGTGTGGATATGCAATTCATAGCTGTTAGAATTTAATTAAATATACTCATGCCAATAATGGTTGTCACCCCTTCAAATTTTTTTTATTGGAGAGGGTAGGGGGTTGGGGTGGGGAGGTGGGTGACAACCATTATTGGCATGAGTATATGAGGTCGAGTTAAGGTGTGGATATCAGTGAACGTCACTGGGAATAACTTGTGTTTCAGTCGCTTCATTTCCGCATGTAGGTATATGGTGACTCACTGGCTATCACTAAACACTACACAGGGCGGATACAGCTTTTAGAGAAAGGGGGTACATACTATTGAGAAAAGGGAGGGTGCACACTTCATTTTCACCCGAGTTTCAATGGTCATTTAATAAACTTTTCAGGATAAAAAAAAGGTGCGCACCCCACCCCACCCCACCCTCTGGATCCGTCTATGCAACAACACTGTGTAGGGCTTAAACAGTTTCAAATATTTGCCGGGCCATTTCATACAAGCTACAAGGACGTTGTTATGGAGACGACGAGGTTGGAACTGTCTTTAGCTGTAACTGTAATTTGGAGAGTATGTGACGATACGACTGTAATGAATTGCAGGGTAGCTCGCCGCTGCATGTTAATTTGTGGGGAATCGAACCCGGGTCTTCGGCGTGAGGAGGGAACGCATTAACCACTTGGCTACCTCACCGCCCCACATAATTATGTAGATATACGTGATTTTGAAAGATACCCCGCAATTTCTTTTTCTTACCTTTGACGAGTCTGTTGACGTAATCTGGATGTTGGACCAGGCATTCCAAGCCCAGTTTGGAGTTCATCACCACTTTGATACAAGCCACACATTCAAGGAGAAGCAGGGCATCAGACAGCTGGGTTACCCGTTTACTTCCAAGGGTGTCCACACAGTCCAGCAGTGCGTCAGACCTTTGGCGTCCAGGAATCCTTGCATCCATTCTTTCCCACTGGACTTTACCTTCTTCTTCAAAGCACCGAACGTGTTCACAGACGGTAGTTTTAACACACTCCACACACAAATCTCAGGATCACACTGCTCCAAATCAATATTCATCAACGTCGCGCTTATTTTTCGACGAAGTATGTGTTTAATTCCCTTTTTAGGCTTTTGATTTTCTTTTTCAGATCCTGTTCCATGTTCCGAATCAACAGAGCTCTCACTGTACATTTCGTTCAGTAACAAACTCGCTTCTTTCTCCGATATGGTCTCCAAGTGACTCAAGCTTGAGGTTTGGGAGTCGCCAGAGTCGGTCAATTCACTTTCTTTCGAGCCTGTCTGTGCAAATTTAGTATCCGCGCCCTCACGTTTGCTGTCGCCTGAAGCTTGTGATGCAAGCAAAGTCACATTGTCGTCTCCACAAGACGGCGAACTGTTTAACTTAGCCATATCACTACCTTTCAGTGTTTCCTCCTCTCGCACGTGAGATTCAACGCTGGACTTGTTGGTATGGATCGTGTCGTCTGCTACTGAGGCGTCCGCCATGTCTTCTGAGTGCGCGTGACGGTCACGGCTGAGTAGCACAGCTTGATCCGTCGCTCTGTTATTTATAGTTTGTTTCACGGAACTAACCTCGGCATGTTTCGTCTCATCCTCTCTGTCTTTCCTTCCTTTCTTTTTCCTCCCAGATTTGGGGCTCTTTTTGTCTTTTTCTCTGGGAGCCGAGCGACGGGACCCCCACACCAAGTTGGACACCCGTCTGAACAGGCTCGACATGTTGGACCAAACCTGAAACAATATTACGTTTAAATGTCACATTTTTTCCATATAGGAAAATTATCAGCATTGTCATCCATCGTCCAAACATCAGATAAAACCAACTCAGGCATTCATGTTGTGCTAAGCAGACTGGCCATGACGATGGAATTTCAGCTATGACTACTCACCTTGGGGTATTATAACCTCCTATTAACCTTCATACATTCACACTTTCACCAGGTCGTCTGTTCCCAAATATGTTCAATATTCATCAACGACTGATCACGCAATTAATCCAACTTCTGTGAATAACACGTTGAAGTTTTGTTGACCTGTCGCCTCCTGTTTACCCTGAATATACCACGAGGAGTGTATTTCAGGTCGACCCAGTTCGTCGCACACCCATCTCGATAACACTATCCCAGATAGCCCGCCCTCACATATGCACTTACCCGTTATTGTCGTCTGCTACCCACGTTGACATAACATTTCCTGTTTTCATATTTATGAAAGAAGTGTTTGGATGTGTCGTCTGCTCGTAGGTAGATTGCGTCGTTATGTCGGAATACTTATTAAATTGATAATGTGTGTGGATATGCAATTCATAGCTGTTAGAATTTAATTAAATATACTCAAGCCAATAATGGTTGTCACCCCCTTCAATTTTTTTTTTATTGGAGAGGGTAGGGGGTTGGGGTGGGGAGGTGGGTGACAACCATTATTGGCATGAGTATATGAGGTCGAGTTAAGGTGTGGATATCAGTGAACGTCACTGGGAATAACTTGTGTTTCAGTCGCTTCATTTCCGCATGTAGGTATATGGTGACTCACTGGCTATCACTAAACACTACACAGGGGCGGATACAGCTTTTAGAGAAAGGGGGGTACATACTATTGAGAAAAGGGAGGGTGCACACTTCATTTTCACCCGAGTTTCAATGGTCATTTAATAAACTTTCAGGACAAAAGGGGGGTGCGCACCCCACCCCCCCCACCTCTGGATCCGTCTATGCAACAACACTGTGTAGGGCTTAAACAGTTTCAAATATTTGCCGGGCCATTTCATACAAGCTACAAGGACGTTGTTATGGAGACGACGAGGTTGGAACTGTCTTTAGCTGTAACTGTAATTTGGACAGTATGTGACGATACGACTGTAACGAATTGCAGGGGTAGCTCGCCGCTGCATGTTAATTTGTGGGGAATCGAACCCGGGTCTTCGGCGTGAGGAGGGAACGCATTAACCACTTGGCTACCTCACCGCCCCACATAATTATGTAGATATACGTGATTTTGAAAGATACCCCGCAATTTACCAGTATTTTCCATTGTGATATGTAGCCATAAGTATTTCATACAGTGGTGTACGGTATGAATAAAATACTTGGACATGTCAGCTATGTACAAATGTGAAATCTAATTCAATGGCAAACGTAATTCTACATTTGTAACGAGTAGGCTACCTTTAAGAGACATTATAAGGCAATGGTCACAAACAAGCTGTTGAGACTAAATCACGTGTTGTTTGTACGAAAGATACCATGCGAAGCATTCTGTACATAGCTATATTTGTATGTTGATGACGGTTGTTCTCCATCAAAAACCTGCATATCAGGTTTAACGTGTAACATGGTCTCGCAGAGTGTGGTCTCATAATAATAAGGTTTGAAAACGACCCCACGTACTACAGACTATAGTATTTATGGGGCGGTGGGTAGCCTAGTGGTTAAAGCATTCGCTCCTCACGCTGAAGACTCGGGTTCGATTCCCCATATGGGTACAATGTGTGAAGCCCATTTCTGGAGTTCCCCGCCGTGATATTGCTGGAATATTGCTAAGGGCGGCGGTAACCAAACTCAGTCGGTCAGTCAGTAATAATGTTAACAAGGATTGTCACTAAGGTGACATAATCCCCCGCCGCAAATTATCAAATCAAACTTATAAAGTAATGAAAGTTTAAGTTAAATGTCAACAAACACATGACCAGTCAACCTCTCTTGATATCTTGCTCTTTAGGTGTTCAAACACGCACATATTTTCAAGACTGACTTTGACCTTGACATGAATGTCATAGTGTATGAAATATGCAAAAATAGTTCTAAAGAAATTGCTTAGTGAAAAAACATTCAAGGGAAGTCTTCAAAGTCTATGAAGAAAATCCAGTGAACCGTTCTTGAAATATCTTGCTTACAATTCAGGTTAACATGCTGAAATCTTCAAAGTGTTATAGTGACCCTGAAAATTATGTGAAGGTCACCAAACTGGGCCTTCCCTGGATGAAGCTTGGTGTCAAATATAAAGAAAATCCAGTCAATAGTTTTTTGCGATATCTTGCTGACTATCTTAACATGCAATTTAATATGCTGAAATCTATAAAGTGTCTCTGTGATCTAGAAAATTAAGTGAAGGTCACCAAAATAGACTGGGCCCTGCCCCTTCCCTCGATAAAGCTTGGTTTCAAATATGAAGAAAATCCAGTGAACGGTTCTTGATATAGCTTAACATGCAGGTTTACATGCTGAAATCTTCAAAGTGTCGCCATGACCTTAACAATTATGTGAAGGTCACCAAAATCGACTGGGCCGTGCGCCTTCTCTAGATAAAGCTTGGTATTGAATATGAAGAAAATCCAGTGAACGGTTCGATAGCTTAACATGCAGGTAAAACGTAAAAGTCCCCGTGACCTTGAAAAAGAAGGTCAAGGTCACCAAACCTGACTTGGGCCTTTCTTATACTGTGATGAACCTAGGTACCAAATATGAAAAGAATTTAGTGAACTGACTGAGTTTAGTTTTACGCCGCTTTTAGCAATATTCCAGCAATATCACGGCGGGGGACACCAGAAATGGGCTTAACACATTATGCCCATGTGGGGAATCGAACCCGGGTCTTCGGCGTGACGAGCCAACGCTTTAACCACTAGGCTACCCCACCGCCCCAGAATTTAGTGAAAGGTTCTTAAGATATTCCAATTCGTACGTACGTACGGACGGACGGAGCCTAATACTATATCCCCCGCTTCGCGCTAAACGCGCGGCGGGGGATAATTATGCTCGTACCTGTTTAAACTGTTATGGGGGGCGGTGACTAAAACTGATTCGAAAATGTCGCGACAGCTGTAATATTACACCCACTAACCTACCCATAAACCCGCCTTCCAACTCAATCCTCCACCTGCCTTCCCGCTCATGCGCAGTCACCCACCCAGAGTAAGTAAGTTTGGTTTTACGCCACTTTCAGCAATATTCCAGTAATATCACGGCGGGGGACACCAGAATGGGCTTCACACATTGAACTCATGTGTGGAATCGAACCCGGGCCTTCGGCGTGACGAGCGAACGCTTTAACCACTAGGCTACCCCACCGCCCCTCCACCCACCCAGGACCCACTTACACACCCGCAATACCACCCATCCGTCTACCGACTCACTCTCCCTTGGGTTATTCGTCACACTTACAAGTGCGACACAGAAATGCACTCACAAGGATAACCATCATCTTATTTAGTTACTGCTACAGACAACGATGGGGACTCTGATAATGATAATGATGTCGGTATGATGTCAGGTAAATAATAGGTGTATCACATGGGCAATCACGGTTGACACATATTCGGCTGACACTGACAGTGGCGGATCAAGTGTGTGTGTGTGTGTGTGTGTGTGCGTGTGTGTGTGTGTGTGTGTGTGTGTGTGCGTGTGCGTGCGCGCGCGCGCGTGTTTTGTGTTTGTGTGGTGGGGTTTCCAAGGTGTTCGAACCCCTCATTTTGGTAACCCCCTGGAACACACACATACCCCACCCACCCCCATTCAAAATTCCTGCATCCGCCCGAGACTGACACTAACATTATTAAATGTTTCCTCGTTCGGTTTGAACAATTTACATTTTACCTTACTAGGAAATAAATTAAACGAGAAATAAATAAACAATTCATCGAAATAAATGAATAAAGGAAGTTACGAAGTATACATGTTCCGTGTTGTTTAAGTATGAATGTCGTAGAGAATCTTGATTGATAGTCATCGAAGTGTTCTTACAACTGTCTCTGAGCATTCTGAAGCGTTGAGTCAGGCGACATTCATTTGACTTCCTGTACAGTTTTTCCTCTGTCGTAATTAAGTTAAAGTAAATACTCCATTGTCTTGATATACCGTCTGAAAAGGGCCGAGGCATCGGCAAGTATACCAGTACAAGCAAGTGATTCAAAATCGATCAGTTTTTATGTCAGCACAAACATTAAAATGAGACTCGTCTAAAATCATCAACAGCGGACTTATAATGACGTCATACAATTCACGCACGTACTATTTATAACAGTTATTCCTAACTAACATATTACTGAAGCTGTATAGCGACATATATGCATGCATGTGCGTGCGTGCATGCGTGCGTGCTTCTAACAGTCCGGTCTAATGTCTGTTTTATTATGACACCGATGTATTTGTTTGTTTATTCCTTAACCGGTCTGTTAATCATCTGGACCAGACAATCCGGTGATGAACATCGTGAGCATCGATCTACGCAATTTGGGTACGATGACATGTGTCAACCAAGTCAGCGAGCCTGACCACCCGATCCCGTTAGTCGCCTCTTACGACAAGCATGGGTTACTGAAGACCAATTCCAACCCGGATCTTCACGGGCACACCTTACTACAAGGATATAGAACAGAAAAGTGAAAAGACGAATAATTTACAGAACTTTATAAAAATACAAACGAAACATCCTAATACTTATCTCTGCATAATACTTATAATTAGACAATTATCGACGATACAAATAAACAATGCCTTACAGAATGGTATATGATATGCGCCCGAAGAATCCGTTAGAAGTTTAAACATTAACGGCGAGTGTGATCCCCTCGCAAACTTCATCAGAAAATCAGATCGTATCTTCCACTAAGGTAACAAAAGCAGCTTGTTTAAAGGACAATCTACAGATGAGAATTACTCTTCGATTGGATAAGCTTTAAACGAGGCCAACAATAAATATTATCACACGATACTGCCAGTGTACATTTGACGCCT